CTGGTGTCCCCCTAAATAAACGGCCTCTGAACCATAAAATTTTGGATATGGTTTGCGCCAATTGGCTGAAAGCTATGGGGGACATTGGGAATGAATAGGCAAATCCAAAGAAAAAACATTAGGGACATGGTGGTTGATTAATCAGGGGCAAACTCTGATTATTATTAATGGGGGACATGGGCTCATGGGGGGTACCCTTTGGGAGCTATCCAAACTGATGATTTTTATAAAGAACTTAATTAGAAATCGATCATTTGGGGAATAGTTGTTTTTCAAATTTTCACTGATCAACAGTGATGGGTTCTGGTGTTCATGCGGTTTCAACTTAAATATATATCATAAGGAAACCATAAGGAAACCATTTGAAACTTTTGGCTAAAAAAAAATGGATTTCAGCACTGGTGGTTTTTTAATCGGGGGTAGGCCAAAGTGTTTGTTAATCTGGGGGGACCACCTGTTTTTGAATTACAAAAAATGGGCAGTGGTGGTTGATTAATCTGGAGGGGTTAATTAATCCTGACTTGACATTCTATATAACGTGTAGAGAATGTATACTGATAAATTTAAAATATATACAATGTATATACTCTATTATGTATATATCATATATATATATATCATGTATATATTATGTATATATTGTGTACATAGTATGTATATATTATGTATATATTGTGTACATATTATGTATATATTATGTATATATTATGTATATGTTATGTATATGTTATGTATATGGTATGTATATGAGTTAGACAATAGTAATCCCATGTTTATAATCCCCCCATCCCAGCACCCAGCATAGCATATATCATGTCTCATATCCCACCGCCCACACACCAGCACCCAGCATAGCATATATCATGTCTCATATCCCACCGCCCACACACCAGCACCCAGCATAGCATATATCATGTCTCATATCCCAACCCATACCCCAGCACCCATCATAGCATATATCATGTCTCATATCCCAACCCATACCCCAGCACCCAGCATAGCACCGCCCAGACCCAGCACCCAGCACCCAAACAAAACAATAACATAACCATAACATAGAAAACAACATAATCAACAAAACAAAACCCCTAAGCAACAAACAATACAATAGACAACAATAAAAATCATACCCCTACCCTTTAATAATCCTATCTTAACAATCCATATTCCTTTTTATAAATTAGGTTTTATAAAAAGAAACTTATTGATTAAGTTTATTCAAATTCTCGTGATGTAGTGCTGTTGTTAGATGTCTCTTATAATTTTTACTTTGTATTGAATAGTTATTACATACAGGGCACGTCATCCATTTTATTTTAGCATACTCTGCTTCATAATTTTCTTTCCTTCTTTCTCTTGCCTTCGCATTTATTTCTTCCCTGTGTTCCCTCTTATAATTTTTGATATATTCCAATTGAGCCTCCCTATGTTCAGAATAATACTTCCTCCTTCTTTCATTTCTTTTATCTTTGTTCTTCTGATGATTTTGTCTCATATATTCTCTACACCTATCACAAGTTTTGTATTTACCCTCTTCCATTTCTTTAAAGCATTTAGCACATTCGATTTTATTATCTTCCATTACCCTACCATAGATAGGGAATATCTTTTTCAATACCTATCCCATCTTTTTATAACCCCGCACCCCAGCACACAGCACAGCATATATCCCAATCCCCAACCCCAGCAATGACAAGAAAAACCATACGGACAAGCACAAAGACAAAAACAGAGCAGACAACCCCGCACCCCAGCACACACACCAGCACAGCACCGTCCCACACACCAGCACATAACACAACATATATAACAAAAACCAACAAAGACAAGGCAAAGAGCAAAAAACAAAGCAAGCACCCAGCAAACAGCAAAAGCAAACAGCAAAGCAAAAGCAAGAGCAAAGCAAAGAAAACAAAACAACCCCCCACTAAGTAAGAAACAATATACAAAACAATACAACATACAACAATAAAGATAAACCCATAGTCTTTAATAATCCCGTCTTACACTCACAAAACTGAAACTGTACCCTGACATATTTGCAACTGTACCCCCACAGATTTGAAACTGTACCTCGGCAGATTTGGGGCATTAAGAAGCAATTCTAATCATTTTTGGGAAATCTGTCGCCCAACAGATTTGAAACTGTATCCGCACAGATTTGAAACTGTACCCGCACAGATTTGAAACTGTACTCCTCACAGGTTTGAAACTGTTTCCTCAACAGGGTGCTCCCTGTCCCCCTTACAGGGTATTCTCGTTATGAAGGGGTTTTAATCATTTTCGGGCAACCCTGTCCCCTCAACAGGGTTCTCCCTGTCCCCTGAACAGGGTTCTCGCTAAATCCATTTTCAGACCCTGAAAACGGCAAATATCCATTTTCAGGCAATGAAAACGGCATTTTCAGACCCTGAAAACGGTTAAAAAGCATTCTCAAGCAATGAAAACAATTGTTTTCAAACAAAGAAAACCCCAGACACAACCCCACCGGTATCCCAGTATCAGATACCCCGATACCCCCAGTATCCCAGTATCAGATAACCCGATACCCCCGCACCCCAGCATAGCACAGCACCGCACCCCAGCACACAGCATAGCATCTCACACAGCATATAACAAAGCAAATACACGAAAAACAGCAAAGCAACTGCAAAAAGCAAAAACAAAAGCACCCCAGCATACAACACAGCACATAGCACAGCATACATACAAACAACAGCAAGAAAAACAACACAGACAACAACAAAGGCAAAACAAAGACAACAACAAAGACAACAACAAAAGCATACACACAAAACAAAAACAAAGCACCCCAACAAAACCCGCAATACACAAAGCACCTCCCAAGACAAATACAATAATCCATAACACAATCCCAAACACAAAGCACCTCCCAACACAACACCAAACCCCAAAGCACACTTAAGTGCTATTGCTGCTTCCGACACTGAAACCGGATGCACCTTTGTTTTGCTGCTGCTCAGCACCTGTTGGTTGGATTGGCCACATGCTTGTTGCATGTCGCATGGCTTGCCACCTCCCCCGGGATGGAGGGTGGGCTGCACAAAAAAGGATTGGCAACTTGAGCCGCACTTAGCGACACTGACGGAATCACCTCGGCGCCCCAAAGTTACACTTTGCAAAAGTTCCAACTTAAGTGCTATAGCTGCTTCCGACACTGAAACCGGATGCACCTTTGTTTTGCTGCTGCTCAGCACCTGTTGGTTGGATTGGCCACATGCTTGTTGCATGTCGCATGGCTTGCCACCTCCCCCCATTGTGTCCTCCTCCAAGCTACGTGTAGTGGACGAACTGATCCACCTTCGCCATGCGCTCGGAGAGGCCTTTGAGTACATCTCCACTGTCATGTAGGTAGCGGTGCACCGCTCCACTGCTCCACCTCCCTGTTCTCTTCACAATCTCCACCTCTCCAGTGGCCTGGTACAAGGCCGACGCTCCCCCGATCCTCAGGCTGTGCGACTGAAACCTTTCTGCTGGTAGGCCCACAGCGCGCGCCGCCTGCTGCAACACGTGCTGCACCTCTAGCCTCTTCAGCACCTGACCAGTGGCCCACCGGAAGAGCGGCAAGTGCTTCTCGGGCCCTTTGAACCTGCGTGGTGCTACCTCGCGCAACTTCTCAAGCGCGGCCACCACACACACTCCTTCCACATTCGTTCTCAGCATGGTCTTGCAAGTTCCAAAGGCTTCCTGGTCGGCCTTGGTTTTCCGAAATTGCAACGTCACCTCCTGCGCGTCGCTCTCGGTCGCCTTGCCCTGCACTCCAAGCTGAATATCCTGCCCTCTCACCACCATCTCGAGGTCCACTCCTCCCGAGTCGCAGAACTCCTTTGCCCGCAACATGAAGAACCATGCCGTCAACAGAGCCGCCATTACCATCCTGCAATTGACGCGCAATTCTCCGCTCTCCTCATCGTTGACCTGGAACTTGTGGCTGATCCACTTCAGCATTGGCACAGTGACACCCAGCCTCCTCGGTTTCTTCACTGCTGTGCGTTCCAAGGAGTTCAACACAACCCACAGCCGGTGCATTTTGGCTGTGGAATCTCCTTGGCCTGCCCGCTTGTGAGCATCCTTGATGGCAAACACCGCCTGCTTCAGCGTTGCCACCGACGTCCCAAGCCATCCGAGGTAGCCCAGGTAGCCCAGCAACTTGTTCTCATTCTCCACCTGGTCCGCCTTGTGGTCCAAGTAGGGAGAGAGCCACCCTTGCCTGTTGCTCCAAGCACACCACCTTTGCCATGCCGCTGCATATGCCCTTTGCGTGCTCTCTGCTTTGTCACCCTGCATGTGCTCGTCCAGCCACTCCTCCACTTGGGCCTTGATGTCAAAGTCCACGAACTGGTCCGACTCGAAGTTCACGATGCATCGTGCCTCCACTTCCTTGGGAGCCTTTTGCATTTTCTTTCGTCCTCCAGCCTTGCGGCCATCCGTCTCCTCGATACTGTCCAAAGCCTGCAACCAGAGGTCTTCGCCCCAGAGCCACACCAATCGAGATCCTCCACTTCCGCCTGCTTTGCGGTCTGGAACAGCCCTGCCAAAATCTCCTCTGCGCCACCTTCGTAGCCAGGCCAGCATCGCTCCCAACGACTTGTAGTCCTCCTGGTCATAGCACATGCCCGCCTTGTTCTCTGCCGCCTTGCCGTAGAGCTCCGCCGTGACCCCCAAAAGTGCCAAAGCCGTGCGTCGCCCTGTAGCAGCACATCCTTCTCGTGCAGCCTGGGTTGTGCCCAGCTCGGCTCTCACCTGATTCCACTCCTCCTTTGTTCGGCCTTGTGCCTGCCAAACCTCCTGGTCGGTGAGCTTCCGTACGGTCCCGGTCGGCGCCGCTCTGTCGACCACATAGAGCTCCTCAACGCCTGCGCCCTCCTTGGTGAGCGGCCACCTCCCGGGACCACTCACCTTATACACCATTTTTCTCTCCTCATCACCAAACCAGACATGGGCCCCAACGAGTGGTAGCATGTGCCTGTTGCCCTCAGTCATCGCTGGCTCCCACTTGGAAAAGGGTTTCCAGTCTCACCTGATGCTTTCTGCAAAATTGTGCCCAGCGTTGGGGGGTTCACCTCCTTCACCAGCAGCTTCTCGACCTCAGCGTCCTCGATTGCGCACTGGTGCACGAAGACCGCAATCCTTCTCCTCACCAGTGCTTCACCCAACTCGGATGTCAAGAACTCCGCCCTGTTGGTGCGCCACCCATGCTTCTTCGCCAGGCTCTCACATTTCTCCCAGTCAACATCTCTGGGGCCTTCAATCACCGCTCCTCCGAACTCCTCGGCGACCAAATAGTCCCAAAATTTTCCAATGGTCTTCCCTCTCGGGTCAGGACCAATGGTAGCTGCAATCACCTTGACGGTCTTCTCGCCGGTGGGATCGTTGAAGTGCTGGAAGTCCTTCACCACACGCGGCCGTGAGGTCCACTCATGTATCTCCAACTGGCTCACCGAGCTCGGCTGTCGATGGATGGCCCTGAAGATCCGCAGCTCTCGCAACCTCATCATTTCATGACGATCCTCTTCCTGAGCCCACGATAGAAAACACGCCCCAAATCTGGCTGTGTCCTCCAACGCCTGTTGAATGCTCTCTCGCACATCCACCATCGTCCATCCTCTCCTCCGTGCAAGCTCCTCCGCCTCAGCATCCTCCAACCGGGTCAGGGCGTCCGCATCCTCATTGTGATAAGTGCGCCACCATCCACCCACGATCTGGCACCGGAATCTCATCTCGACCAAATTCAGGACTCTGATGAGGAGCCGTCCCGAGCGCACTCCACTCTTTCGGTTTGCGATCCAATGGTAGACCACCTTGTTGTCGCCCCCATAGACCACCACTCGTCCAGTCCATGATGCCCCCACCTTGCAAGCAAACGCCACGAAGGATAACATCTCTCCAAGGTGAATAGCCAAGCTTCCTTCTTCGTCCACCTGATCCTCTTGGAGCACCCTGCTAATCCATGGTCGAAGTCGTTCCACGCTCTCGCGACAGGCCAGCCCATTCGTCCAATCGATCGCTGCGATCATCCCAGGCGTGGCATCCGACGACACAAACACTGCCGCTGCCTTCAACTCCCCTGGAATTGCCAGCCTCTCCATGGTCGGCAGGACCTCCTTGATGTCTCCTCCAAATTTTTCAGCCCAGGTCTCAGACCGCGAACACAGCCACCTGCACTCCTCAAATAAGACCCATAGGTCTTCCCAAGCGGTGTCCTCCTCGCTCACCTTCCCGTCGCAACCCGATGGGCTCACCTGGGCCCCTCCATCAATTCCACCCAGGAACCGGTCGACCGCCTTGAGCTCGTTCTTGAGGCCCACCACAATTGTCGTCCATCCATTGACAATGCCTCGGAACCGTTGCAGCTCCTTCAGAGTCAGGCTGCGCTCTCCATAGTTGAAGGCAGGCTCCGCAAGCAAGTAGGCACCCTTGAGTATTCTGGCCTCTGGCAACGACATCCGTCCCGTTTGGGCGTTGATGGTGACTCCCCAAACCGTCTGCTCCGCTGCAAAGTAGCCCTCCTCTGCATCCTTGGCCGCGTTGATGGCGCCTTGACCCAAGAGTTTGATCACCGCCGCCTCGTACACCTCGCTTGACACCCACGGCCGCAATCCCACGCAAGGCTCCACCAAAACCATGTCGTCCACCAGGATCTTTCCATCAAAATGCAGCGCTCCATCCCGGCGTTCCTTGGCCGGCTTGTAGCATCGGTGCACCTCCTCCGTAGCTCTGCCCCAGATGTTCCACTCCCCCGGGGATCCGGAGAAACCAAAGCTGCTGACGAGAAAGAGCATGGTCATAGACCCGGGGTCTCCCTTCTCCTGTTCACCTTCTCCAGAGCCCATGGCCTCCACCTTCCACGGTACCTCGCCCGCGAAGAGCTCCACATCCTTGGGGTCCAGCCACAATAGTCTGAATGCTCCAGCCACATCCTTCTTCGCGAGCACAATGGGTATCTTCGGGTACCGTCCCTTCCAAAACAGAATCCTCCTCACCACCTGTTGATGTGTGGGTTGTACAGCAGGCGGATGTAGATCCTTGGACGTACCCCCATTGATCCCACGCTGGTCATGCACCAGCCTCACCTCCGAGGACAACGCTCGATTCGGCAGCATCTTGGGGACGGCCTCAAACGGCGATGCTGCCGTATGCCGTAAACCAGGGTGTTTCGAATCCACCACCAAGATCCGATGTTTTGCCACATCCTTCATCAACTGCCTGAAAACCTGCGGCAAGTTCGCCCGTGCTCTGGGATGGGGTTCTGCCCTCACTCTCGTCCTCTCTCCCACGTACCTGGCAGGCATTCCTTCCCGCCGGATCTCCCTCATGTACGCCAGGTGGTCTGGGTGCAATAAACCGTCGAGGTCCTTCTCCTCTACACCTTGTAGGTTGTGTCTTCCCAGCTCCTCTCGCGCCGCCCACAAGGCCTCTGCTGCTCGTTGCACTGAGCCTCCTGCCTCCAGTAGCGCATTCCCAGCCGTGCACACCCTTCTCCAAGTGTTCACCTCCTGGTCCTCAATGGCGTCAATCTCCGCAATGTAGGCCAGCGCTGCCGCATGAAGTTGATGTCCACCACTTCCGCTTTGACCTTGTCCAGCATGAAGTCGATAAGCTCCAACACCTGGTCCTTCTCCTTGGCTTCCTCCAGCCTCCCGACCAGTTTGACGTGGACTCCCTGGGGGGTTCTGCGGGCCTTCTCGGTTCCCTGGCAAATCCCAAGGGTACCCTTCAGGGCGTGGGTAACCGACCACCTGGAAGACCGTCCACCCTACCCAGCTGCGGTACGGCCCGATTTGGTCCTCCTGCATGGCCCATAGATCCTGAATCTCCACAACCTCCAGCGGGTTCTCATCATCCGTCGACTCACATCGGGTCCATCGAGCAGGTTGAAAGTAGTCCAATGGAAATGGGCATCGCTCACCTCCCGGCATCACCAACCGTCTCCTAGGCACCTTATGCCAGATCCACAACAGGCCCGTCTCCTCATTGTAAAAGCATTCATCACCATGTTTCATCGCCAACTCCGGCGGCGGGTCATCACCTGACTCAGTCGGAGATTCCCCATCAGGTGGTGAATCTGCCACACTCGTAGGAGTAGATGACTCCTCGGGCATCTCCTCATCACTGCTCTCCTCACTGGGATCTGAATGCTCGGGCCCATCGCCGTCAGGTTCACCCCCTCCAGCACGGCGGCCACCTTGCATCCCATTCCCCTCACCTTGCTCCTCACTCTCGTAGGGCTCCTCAACAACGAAGTTCTCGTCCATGTCGAAGGGCTCCTCAACCGCGAAGTGCTCGTCCGTGTCAAAGGGCTCCTCAGTGTCATAGGGCTCCTCAACCGCGAAGTGCTCGTCCGTGTCAAAGGGCTCCTCAGTCTCGAAGTGCTCGTCACTGTCATAGGGCTCTTCAATCTCATAGGGCTCCTCAGCCTCGTAGCGCTCCAGGATCTCCGCCAGGCTTTCCATTGTGTCCTCATCCACAAGATTGTCACCAACACCTGACGACTCCTCCTCTTCTTCATATTGCTCATCATCCTCAAACTGTCCCTCATCTTCTCCTTCCTCTTCGTCATCGCTGCCACTGCTCCCACTGTTGCTCGATGGGTCCCCTGGGACCACCTCCCCTCTTCGTCCTCCTTTGCTGCCAACAAGGCCTCCTGCTTGCCGTAGGCCAGGTTGTGGTCCTTCTCGAGACCGACCCCCCCCCACCACCAAAAGCTGGAGGGCCTGAATGACCGCTGTGACAAAGGCCGGGGCATAGACGCCTGCTTCGGTACATCGAGTGACCGTGGTGTTGGCTCGACAACCTTGTAGAGGAACGTGTTGATGGGTAGGCGACAAACCCGGGCACAACCGAAACAAAGCTTGCCGAAATGCCGGATGTCTCGGAAAGGCCAACCCAGTGCGGTGCTTGTAAAACTGATCCGGATGCTGTGCATCAAGAGGCGCTAGCCCATAGGCACACATGTCCACCTCCAAAAAGTCAACATCCGGTCGTTGAAGGATCTTTTGCCAGCACGGTAAGTGCCACATCTTGGGGTACCTGCCCGACCGCCCAGAGCTCTCCGCAATAGGAAAATGACCTCGGTCCAGTGCCTTCTCAAACAGTTGGGCCTCAAAGATGGCCAACTTATTGCCCATGTCCTCCTTTTCATTGGGGGCACCCATTGGATTCTGAAAGGTCCTGGTACCATTGTTCTGCAGATTCCAATCACAAAAGGTTGTGCACGGACACGCCAGCCATTCCACATTCGTGTCGTCGGCCTCCACCTCTTGGAAATACTTCGCTTGCACATGTGGTTGTGATAGGTCATGTTCAGGTCGAGGGCCTTGTCGACGATGGGGATCTGTGTAGAACTCCACGGGCTCCAAAGCAGTGCCTCCGCTCCTCAGCCATCCCTCGGTGATCACCCCATGGCCTGCAAAGTACTCTCGCATGCACAGCCCCGATGGGTCCGTAGCTCGTTTGGCAGGCCGTACATGATACACCTCTTGACGGCCTCCTGCCGCACAAATTGCCACAGCAGCCAGGCAAGACTCCTTTCTCAGCACCATAGGGGTCTCCATCGCTCCCGCCTTCTTGACCGGCTTGCAGTGTCTGCATGCTAAAATTCCCGGTGCGGAACGTGGTTGGTCATGACGTTGATGCCAGAAATAGCGGAAGCCCAAACTTGGAGTTGTGTACACATCAAACTTGGACAAAACCTCTGCTTGACTCTCCACTTCCAGCGGTTCCAAAAGCGTCATGTGGCCCCTCCAAATCATCGCCCAGATTTCTGGCTGGCCTGCCTTCCAGTGCGCTCCTTGAACCACCTCCGGGACATAGTCTCCCTTATAGTCAACCCGAAGCACCACCACTCGGTACGCCTCCAGCTCCTCAATGGGGAGACTGCCAGTGCCCTGTAATCTTTGTCGTGGTGGGGCTTCAAGATGTCATGGGTGTACATCCTCAACTCGTGCTCGACCGCCGTGACCCGTGCCTCTGAATGTCCCATGGTGCCCTCGGCCTCCACCGCCAACCTTGCCTGCTCCAAACGAAAACGCTGAGCCATCTCTTCCACCTTCTCCATGCCAGGGACTGCACCCTCCTTGTTGGCCGATCGTAGGAAGCCTGCCGCCAACACCTTCGTGACACACTGCCTCTTCTCCACCTCGGGTACTACCACCCCTAGTAGGCCGGCCAACTCCTCAGTCATCTGCACCTCCTCGCGATAGTCATAGGACGTCCAGACCTTGCCGTCAATCTCCACCAATGCTTTTCCCGGACCATCGCCACTCCACACTGTATCTTGCACCATGCAACGCCGGTGACTCCCTGCTTTGTCCTCACCATGCTCCTCCAAGATCTTCGCCGCCTCTGCCGCCAGCTCCCCCAAGCCGAACTGCACCATGTCCTCCAGCAGAGCTTCCAGGGTGATGCCTGGGTCGTTGGCGACCCGAGTCGCGGCCCAAGCGTAGAGGTCATCGGAGGCCGTGTGGAGCTTCCCCAGGACTGGGCCCTCGGCCAAACTCTGCGCCTTCTTCAGCAATTCCTGGGCATACCCTGGTGCTGACCGACCTCCTCTGCCTTCATGGGCCTTGCCTTCTCGGGGTACATGTTGAAAGGTGTCGCGAGGGGGGCCTTGAACCAGGTCCGCAAACTCCTTCTCTTGTGCCGTGTAGTCCACCTCCACCATTTCAATCGGAGCATGCCACGTCACCCCGCCTGCACGTTTCGCCCCTGCAACCTCAGCATCGGACGGCACCTCCTCAATGGTGATCTCCTGACCTGCTTTGCGTCGGGCTTGCCCATCTTGTATCTTTGCATTTTTGTCCTGAGCAACGCTCTGCCTCAGGGCCTTGATCTTCTCGACCGCCGTGTCCTTGTTCTCCATCTTCATCCTTCTCAAACCTCCTCGTCGGATGAGTTGCATCTGAACCGTGGGGTCCAAGGCCTCGAAGGTTCCTCGAAGATGTTCATGAGCTCGTTGGCAATTGGACTGACTGCACCCAAGATGAGATAGAAAACCCCAGCAAAGCAGCTTGCCATCCTTCCCTACTGGGGCGCGGTCTTTGGCCCGATTGACCTCCTCCGGAGTGAGCTTGGGGCCCAAAAGGGTTTTCAGCGTGATCTTGTCCTCTGTCTTGCCATCACTACCCCCTGCTGGTTGACCTGCTCCTCGAGGTTTGGCCGCTCCTTCCCATGTAAGCCTCCACAACATTCTCTCCTGCCTCCTCTCGATCCTGGGCATCACCTCCGTGGCAAACCATCCTTCCGGGTGGTGCAGGTCGAACGTCCGAGGAATCTGCAATGGCGGGTTACCATGCTCGTCCGGCATCAAGGCGTAGAACTTGAGGTCCGCCAAAGTCATGGTCTCTCTGCCGCTGATCCCTTTGATCTTCCTCAGCTCTGCCTTCAGCTCCTCCACGAATCGCCAGTGCGATTCCTCCCACACATCGCACACAATCTGCAGCGGCCACCGATGAGGAGCTCCAAGATGCCACTCGCCCAACAACTGCGCGGCGTGCTCCTTGACGGCCTTCCACTCCTTCCCATAGACCAGCGCCCACACATCCGTCTGCCGCCTCACCCTGTTGGCCCAGTCTTCATAGCGAGTGGGGGCTGGGGGTCTCTGCTCGTTGACCGGCTTGCCTGTCCTGCACTCCACCGCATGTTGATCCAACTCTGCATCCGAACAGGGTATGAAGTCAGCGGCAGAAAGGGCGTGCTTCTCTTGCGTGCCCCAGAAGGGTCCGGCCAGCCCCACAGCTAAGCGGGGTGTCACTTTCTGTCTGAAGCCAGCATTTCTCAGTCTCGTGGAAGCTCCTGCCTGGGCTGTCAGCAATGCCTGGGCTAACCGTGCCGTACTCATTCGCTCCCACTTCCACTGTGTATTGTCCACATGCACGCAATAAGAAGACCAGCTCCTCAGACTGCTTCCCCAGCGATCTCATAGTTCCTGCCGTAGCGTTGGCCGCCGTGTCATTCTGGGATTTCACCAGCGATGCCAACTCCGTCGTCTGATTCTGAATAGCCTTCGCCAAGTCCAGCATTGCATGGTCATTGGGAGGTCCTCCGGCACCTGCCTTCCGATCATCTACACCATAGATTCCAGGAGGGCCCAGCTTCACCAACGTGGGTTCACCTTTCGCCGCTTTCTGCATGTCCGGCGTTGATACTGACTGCTCCTCACCCGGACTTCCCACTAAACTCCAGCTTGCACTTGAAGTCGGCGTAGGCTCGGCTGCCAACTGCTTCCTCCACTTTGCCAGAAATTTCGTGAGCCCTTTTGTACCTTTCCTTTGTTCCTCCACTGCCTGGTCATACAACGTCTTGGTGAAGTCCCTGAGATTGACCCCCGCAGATGCCGCCATCTGACTCCTCAAGTCCTCTTCATCGATGCCCATCTCTTTGGCCTCCAACAGCTGCGCCAAGAACTCCTCCAACGTTGACAACATCTCCCTACGGTCAGGTGAATTGATCATTCCAAGCTTCGCCAGATTTCTCTGCACCGCTGATCTCGGCGTCCTTCCTGGCGATGCATCACTCATCGAAGCCCTCCGGGTACGGGGTTCGGGAGTTTCTCCCATACTCCTCATCTCCTCGACCATCTGCTCTGCCACATGTTCTTCGCCTCGAACTTGTCCTGAATCATGACGTACTCGACGACGTAGACCACCTCCACCATGATCCTCATCTTCCGGGTCATAGTCTCCTCGCTCTCGGACCCTCGACCTCGACCGTGAAGACCTCCTGGAGCTCGTGGGTCGATGAACTTCAGCATGAGCAGTGCACAAACGTAGGCCCGACGTACCCTCACTGAGACCCACTCTGGTGCAGTTTGCAACTACGCACTTAAGTTGGAACCGACCCTGGAGATACTTAGTAGCGTGTTTGGGGCACAGAGTACACCTAGCTAGGCCTACCGGCAAATCTTCCTCCAGGAGCTGAGACTCTACACTACCACTAGCTGTACAAACTTCGTTGCACAGACGCTGGTGGCCGTGCTCGTCCTCCCAGTGAATTCGCCCAGCCAAACATCGCACTTCCTCAGTTTCGGATTCAGAAGCCAGATCACGAGCCTTCTGCACTGCACGTCCAGCCCCGGTCCTGAACCATCCCCACATCTGGTAGCTGGCCCGTTTGGCCTGATCAGAGGCAGCTGCCAGTTGGAACCCTTCAGCATTGAATACCTTGCCCACGGCGTACTGCTTGAAGTGGGGTCCCTCCTCGTTGCACGACTCATGCCGACAGATGTGCACCTTGTCGTAGCCCTGCAATGAAGCCAGCAGATCCTGATCACCACGCATCGTGTTGGGCTCTATGGTGACGTACAAGCCAGAAGCCTTTATGCTGGATGTCTCCTGAACCTTGAAGATGACCGTGCGACCCTCCCTACGGAGTAGCACCCATCGTTCGCCCTCTCCACTACGCTTCAGCTTCCTGAGCTCACTGGTCTCTGGAACCTCGCCCAGCTCTGGCCCGAAAAACGAGGCATCCACCGCTTCCGGCACGCCCCCCGTCAAGCGCTGGGTGACGAACATCACTCGCCCGCAGCACTTCAAGGTAGTTCGAACTAACCAGACCAGGGTCAACGCAATTCCCATCAACAGAGAGATCACCGGCCAGCACAAAGCCAGAATGTAGTGGATGATGACGCAAACAAACAGTAAAACACTTAGCCGGATGATGACAGAAAAACCGCCGCGAACCTGGTCCCAGCTTCTTCCGAAAATCAACCATCCCAGAGTGCTGAAGATTGCGTCACATGCCATCCACAGCCACCCATCCCAGCTCTTCGGGGTCAAATCCCAAAAGTCCTCTGGAAGCCAAGTGCCGTTGACGGTCTGGTTGTAGACCCATCGCATATAAGCCCTCGGTTCTGTGCTGAAGGCAGGGGGCCTAGGAACATCACGTTTGGCCTCACCCCACCAACCGGGAGCTTGTTGCACAGCCAGTAGCCCTACCACCAAGCGCAAAGTGCGCCACATGGCAGAGCCCCCCAACCTGCACAAAAAAGGATTGGCAACTTGAGCCGCACTTAGCGACACTGACGGAATCACCTCGGCGCCCCAAAGTTACACTTTGCAAAAGTTCCAAAAACAAAATCCGAAGCACCGCTCAAATCCCACACAATAATCCATAACACAACCCGAAACCCGAAACACAAAGCACCTCCCAACACTACATCCAAGCCCAAAACACCGAACAAAATCAAAACAACCTCCTTCCCCCACACCTCACATCCTGCACTCCCCCCTACACTTTCAACCCATTTCTCAACCCGCCTAACAAATCAACCTTCCAAAACACTAAAACACAAAGCACCTCCCAAAAACCAATACAATAATCCCGAAAACAAAGCAACTCACCAAAACAAATACAATAATCCATAACACAACCCAAAACCATAAGAACCTCCCAACCCCATAACCTTGTCCATTCTACAACCAATATCCTAATGAGGTGTGGGGTAAGACCCTAATAGAAAAAACAAAAACCCATAACCCCGAACTGGGGGATGTCGGACTTTCCTCATTTTGGTCACGAGCGCGCTGCTCCACTTCACTTCGGAAGGTTCTGTTCAAAGCAGACAACCCATTGCTCAATCTTCTCAGCCATCTCTGGCTGTTTCACTGTCTGCACAGTCTTCCACTTATCAAACTGAAACTGCGGAACGACAAAGAAGAATTTGGCTTTGCTGTCATGCTTCTTGCAAAGTGCATCCACAATCTTATACGCCTGCGTCTTCGTCACGTCCATTGCCTTGCCACTGTCATTGAAGGTGATGTCATGTGTATCGGCAATCGTCAGCTGAAAAACGCCCTGTGAGGTCCATGAGTCAAAGGCAGGAAAGTTTTTGCTCTGCGGCTGGTAGTATTCGCCATCCTTGATGTCTGCTGCGGGATTGCCCGAAATCAGCACTCCTTCAAGACCACCTTGGAGTTCCTGTGTTGTATCAGACCCCTTCCCCTCAGCTGTCAAGCATCTGGCTCGGAGCTTGAACTTGCCGATGGACTTGTCCTGCATGAACTGGTGGAACTCTTCCTCAAACAATGCAAAACCGATGCCCGTAATCATCCCATCATCAATACGATCCCAAAGAGCTTGGGCTCGTTTTGCTCTGTTTCGCTTCACCAGCTCTTGCCGAACATAGGGAGACGACAACTGCACATCAAACCAGCTGAAGTTTGGCCATGGCATCATCTTCACCAGCAAGTGCGTCGTCTTGCTTATGGCTTTCATGTCAGACGATACTTTAAGGCATTGCAGCGCATCTGCTGACTGCACGGCCTCTACGAGCCTTCTTCGGTCGACGCCTGCCCTTGTCTCGTCCCTCTCCAAAACAAGCCTCGCAGTGCCACCAAAGATGCCGAAGCGTTCCTTGACAACCTCCTCATTCAGCTTGTGTAAGGCCATGACCTCTGCACTCAGCATCTCCGTCAACGTCCATGGTGGCATATAGAACTGCCCAGAAAAGCGCTCGGCTTGCTTGAAATGTTCCGTGTTGGAAGCCGCTGTCTCGGGCCTCCGCGCAGAGGTAATCCACAAAGACTGGCAAAAGACCCCATGTTCCACATCAATGTCGGCATCCATGATATACAAAGCTTGTGCAGAGGCTGAATACAAAGTATCGGCATCGACCTTCTTTGGCTCTTCGCCCTTCTGAAACCGATGGATGATGTCCCTCTGGTGCAGAAAAACTGGGAAGTCTTTAAGCTCACTGTCTTGGAAGCGACGCCAGATTAAATATACCATAAAATTGGACTTGCCGATCCCAGACGAGCCCAGCAAAGACATCCTATGAGGTTTTTTCTTCAACATGATGTCGGCAATCTCTTTGTAGCAGTCCCGCACGTAGAACTGCTTTTCGTCCCAAATTTCAGAGTTCTGTTCTAACTTGAAACTGCCCGTTTCCGTTTTCAGGATTTGCCCTTCCAGCTCTGCATCATCCAAAGCTCGTGCGAAGGCCTTGACATTCTCGGGAACATCGCTCTGAACCTGAAACCAAGCAAAGCAACCACAGAAACATAAACCCTGTCTCACATCAACGAGAAACAAAACACAACGAACTCGGGCAACAACTGAAACCAATCTTTGCCGAGAAACGGGTTGTGGTTGGGTAATGCCCTTCTGAATGCGGTTGGACAGACCCATTGCTACTGGTCGCACAACGCTCTCGTCGATCTGGGCTTCTGTCAAAACGAGTGCTATGTTTTCATACGACATTTCTGTCAGCACCTTTCTTGGAAAAACGGACAGTGCATCTACCACCTTGTTTGCGACATCTTCATCATACTCCAAGTCGCACATTTGCTCACGAATCCAGTTTGGCACATCTTCAAGTTGTACTTCTGACAGTTTCCGTCTCTTCGTGCTCGGGATTGCAACGGCCATGGCTGAATTAACGCACAACGGGAAGGACATAGCGCCGAACACGAGCATTGCGCAAGGCAACCATTGCTACAACAAAAGTCTTGAAAAGCAACAGCTCGTATTCCTGCAACAGCTTTTACTCCTCCTGACTTTGAATCATGATCTTACTTGAAGCATCAGCGCAGTGCAGTTTGATATTGTTGAGCCTTAACGACAGTGATGGCAAGCACTGGAAGCAACAACACATCAGCATGAACAAGCCTTACACCTTTCACAATTCGTGGCGTAAATAACCCCTCTTATCATCATCTAAATAGTAATAGTTTTGTCTTATTTTCTTGTCAATTTCTTCAAGTTTTGCCAGAACCAGTTTCACCTGTTTAGCGTATTTGTTGAATTTATCCATCAACTCTTTCATTTCAGTCTTGCTCTCATCTCCACTTGACATTACTATTTATTTATTATTTAGAAATTAATTTATTTAATTCTTTATTGAGTTGGAGTTGATAGAAAAACTACTCTTTAAATAATTTCGTTTCAATCCATTTCAGACATCATCTGTTTTTTGCTGTTCCGTGGTGAATTCATAACATCTTTTATCATGTCATTTCTATATCTTTCATCTTCTGTTGGAGAAGTAGTAATTCTATTGAAAGCAAACGAGATGCTGTGGTCTTGACTATCCAATGTAATCCCCCCTTCATCATCCTTACTGACATTCATAGTCTTATCATTTTTAGTCAGTTTGAAACTACACGGATTACAACGACAGGTTATGCCTTTGGGGTTGATTTCAATTTCGTTCCTCAACTGTAATTTTCCCTGACATAAAGGGCAATCAAAGATAATATTTTTGCTTGTTAGTTTTTGTTCCTGACTTAAACTTACCATTTTGGGTTCATCATCAGACAGTTCAAAATCCTCTGGAATAGGTTTTTTGGATTTACTGCTTTTCTTTTTCGGAGGCATCCTTTATATTATTGATTAGATAATGAATAAAACATTTGATAAATTCCAAAATCATCTTTAATAACATTTTTATCTTACCATCTTCAACCACAGGAAATTTAGTGTCGTCGCGAATGCTCGCGAGGACTTCGTCCGAAGCGTCATCAATCAGGGTTTCTATATTCTCAATTATCTCTTCATACTCATCAATCACAACCATTACTATTTATAATTAGAAAATAGTTTTGCTATGTTCTAATTATACTTGCGCTTGTGTAAATGAAAGAGAACAGGGTTGGGGCGCGGGTTCTCTCAAAAGCATAGCATCAAACTAATTCAAAAGTAAGACACATATTCAACTGTTTGTTGCGGGGAACTGAATTAACCTTCCTGATGCTCGTATGGCAGGTAAATGGCAGTCTGTTCCAAACCTTGCGACCCCTTATTCCAGCAAGATAAGATATGCCACTACAATTTATATTATAAATTTATTTCTTAAATATTATATTTATGAATAATACAGTTCCAATCATAAAACCTCATAAATCATTAGAATATGAGTTTAAACAATCAAAATACGATGTAGCGCCAAGAATTCCATTTTCCCAGATTGTAGTAGGACCGTCAGGTTCAGGAAAATCAATATTACTACAAAATATGATTTTAGATATTTACAGAAATTGTTTTCAAAGAGTGTTTATATTTAGCGCCAGTATTCATGTTGATAGTGTATGGCATCCGGTGAAAGAATACATTGAAAAAACACTGAAAGTAAATCCAAAGAAAGAAAAAATATATTTTGATGAGTTCCATAAAGAAGATTTAGAAGAAATCTTGGAACAACAATACAAAATTAGTGAGTTTCAAAAGAAAAACGAATTCAAAAAACTGTTTGCTACATTGATTGTTGTTGATGATTTTGTTGATGCTGTTTCATTTTCAAAACATAATAGTATGCTAAATGCTCTTTATATTAGAGGTCGTCATTATGGAGTAAATATAGTGAGTTCAACACAAAAGTTCAATGGATTGAGCACTATTATTAGAGTAAATAGTAGGCAGTTATACTTCTTTAAAATGAGAAACTATAAAGAGATACAAACAATGGTGGAAGAATTATCAGCGCTATTGATTAAAAAGAACTTACTGATGGATGACAAAAACATTCATCTGCAAAGAAAACATTATTAGAAATTTATGAACTGGCAACAGAAGAAAGATTTAGTTTCTTATTTGTAAATTTGATGGAGAGTGATATTAATAAAGTTTTTATGATTAGATACGACAAAAGAATAATGATAGATGATAAAGTTTAATAATATTATACTAAAATAATATTATTAAATTAAACTCCAACTACAAAGTTGAATAGCAGGTAATTTATAGAATATTCTGTCGCTTTTCTTGTCTTCCATATCTTTAATTCTATTACTCAATTCTTTTATTGCTTTTATTTGTAATTTATCAACATTGCTTATATCTAAATCTTCTTCATTTATGTTAGTCAGTTCTTCTATACAATCATTTTTAACAGCACTTGGTTTATTTCCCATTTATATATATATTGTTAATTTAGATTTATAAAAATCTAAATTAAGAATAATTTTAGTCAAACAAAGTTTGATTAAATCATTGTATTATATTTTAATTCTTTGCTTTTGCCTTTGCTTTTGTTTTTTTCTTACCCTTTAACTCTTTTATTTCTTCCATCATTTCAAACATTGTCGCTTCAAGATGTTCTATTTTGGTTTGTTGCTCTCTCACTGCACCCCAAAGAAAACTGGTTAATTTTATGTAGTTCAGAGTTTTAATACCATCTTGATTTACATTAACTATATTTTCAACTTCTTTGGGCATATTCTCTTCAACATTTTCAGCAATAAGTCCAATATGGTTTTTGTTCATACCTATTTCTTTTTCTTTCTTCAACCTGAATGTTTGAGGTTTAATGTTTTTAACAATGGATGTAAAATCATAATCAGCATCTTTAATATCATACTTTACCTTTTCTGAACTTATATCATTAAAATCACCGCTAAAAATAACACCAGCACCTAATGTCATATCATTTGCTCTTATAAACATTTTAAAAGAACCATTGGTAATGAATCTTAACTCACCGTTTGGGTCTTCATTTGCAAGAGCAGTATGATTGACACCTGATGCATTTGCAGAAGAGATATAACTATTTACATTAGTGCCTTTATGAAAATAAAGTCGTTTATCTTGAATGACATAAGCATCCTTTGAAAACATAGCATCTTCATCTGCTTTTCTGTATCTCATAAATTCTACTCTACCATCATCTGTTGTATTGCCACCTTCAAATACCATATCAACGCCATAATTTCTTGCTCTGAAAAAATCAGCGTAAATGTATTGCGATGATAATGCCCTACCAGTAGCAACATCTATAATATTTTGTGCTCCGTTTAATTTAAAATATTCAACTCCGTTTCTTTGAAAAACCATATCATTATCTCCTACTGTATTGATAGTATTGATTTTAGAATTATCAGCATTTAAAGTTATTGCTGATGCTAATTCAACTTCATTATTTCTCAAATAAAAGAAATCAATAAAATTTCTTCTAAAACTTACATTAGCATTACCTACACTATCGTATGTATTAGACCTCAAACTGACATTATCATTTACATCCAAAGTGCCACTTGTGGTAAATTTCATATATTCAACGCCGTTTCTTTGAAAAACTAAATCAACATTGGTAAAAGAATTTATCAAATTAGTTTGTAATCCCAAATTATTGACACATTTAAATGGTGTATATGCTATAGTTTCAGCGTTGTAGATTTCAAACTTTTTATACTGAGCGAACTGTTGCGGACCGCCTAATGAAAATCTAAATGACTGTAAAGCAGTTGCTTGAAAGTAAGTTTCGCTAACTATTAATTGCTGATTTTCTCCTGTTTTCTTAACATAATTACTGTCATCAACAGTTCCTCCACCTATTTCTGGCGATGTCGGTTTATGAAAGGTTATCAAATTATTTTGCAATGTCATAACTAAATTTGTTGTTGTATCTGGGGTTATTGGACTACCTACATAAAAATTTTATTTGACCCGTATTATCATTCATAATGTAGTTTGATATGGTTGAACCTGCCCTGCTATCAAAATTATCACAAGTAATAATATTATTACATTCTGTATTTGTATTCAATACTGTTTTGCCATCTTGTAATTCTACCATACTTACATTATCACGCTTCAAAATTAAATCCAATGGTGCTATTGTATTAATCTCTTGTGTTTTTAAATTAGCACCGCATTGAATAACTTTATTTGCTATTATCCTGTCATCAGTTTTCAATTCAATAAAACTATTGCCACTCACTCTTAAAAACATATCCAACGATGCTATTGTGTCTATTTCTTGTGTTTTAATGTTGCCTCCGCATTGAATGACTTTTGATGCTATAATTCTGTCATCCGTTTTCAGTTCTAATATATTTTCATTGTTTTGCTTCAACACCATATCAACATTCCCTATTGTATCCATTGAATTTATGTTAAGATTTCCATTGCAAGTAATATTGCCAGCATCAACATTTTCAACAAATCTAAAACAGTCATCAGCATAATCAAACTGAGCATAAGGGACACTGTTAGATTGAAAAAATATATCATTAGTGTTAAGTGCGTTGAAAGTGTTTGTTTGAATACTATCAACATTGATATATCCCGTGCTGTCTAATGATGATACTGTCATATTTCCTAATATTTGGGCATCACCATTGACATAAAAATCTTTGCCATTACTACCAACAGAGTTCAATATTATTTTTGAATTGCCTGTGATATGCCCTATGCGAAGTGTGCCGTCCATATCCTGTGGATTGTTGATGTTTAATTTTGTATCCAACAGTGTATTGACCGCTGTAATGTTATATTTTGTATCTAATAGTGTATTTGCTTCTGTTTCAGTATAGTAATTTGTCAGTAATGTATCTGTCTGTGCTTGGGTGTAATAGTTTGATAAATCTACATTACCACCTCCACCACCACCAGCAACAGCATCATTGACAAATTGCTCCGTGGCAAGATTTGAA